TGAAAAAGAAGTGCACAAACAAAGTCTGGACAGGTCTTGATAGCAAAATGTCTATCTCAAAGCTACCCCCACCCAGCTGGCTGCTTGGCCAGTATGAGTCAGCTAATTTCTTGTGGGCTTTATGCCAGGAATGGGCCAGGGTAGATTAAAGTCTTCACTTTGTTTATCCTCCCTAAAAAATAGGAATCCTTTGAGTTACCCTTACCTGCAAGAACACACGCATATTTCACGGTAAAACACCGACTAGGTCCTCAATGCACACTCCCCAGGACGTGACCGCAGAAGTAGTGGGGCCGTATCTACCCAATACTCCGTAAATATGATTTTCAGATGCAAATCCCCCCCCCCCCCCCGACCACACAGAACAAAGAGACGTGGTGTTTTCTGGGAGCAAAACGCCCACCCTGCTCAAGCCTACAGCCCTAGTCCACCTGCGGGTGCCCCTGGTCACTGTACCACCAACCCCTCCAGCCTCTCAGGGACACACGGACTCAGTGCAGACTTCAGAGGATGAGCTTTATTTGGCTGTTACGAGCTGTCGGCTCCAAAGCAACATGTCAGCTAGTGCACGACATGCAGCTGGAGGATGCTGCCGGGGCTTTCCTGCTGGCTCTTTAGTGGTACTTGCGGGCCAGGGCATGGGCCACCACACGGACCAGCTTTTGCCAGGCAGCCTGGCAGTCGGGAGTGAAATCCTTGGCGAAGTGGGCGGCCAGGACGATGATCAGGATGTCACCCAGGAGCTGGGGGGACAAGAGCACCCTCGGGTTAGCGATGCCCAGGAGCATGCAGATCCCCACGCAAGCATTCACGTTAGACCCAGGGAAGCCTTCGGGCATTCTGTGGGCTTGAAAATCTCCCTGGAGTCCTTTTTAAGATGAATCTTAAACTCGTTCTCTGCTCTTACTCTAAAGATTCAGGTTCTGCAACTGCTATGGGAAGAGCAATGAAAAATTCTCCCGAAATTTTGTGGATTAAATTTTTCTTCCTCCCTTCTGGCTTCGTTTGGGAGTTTATCCCGAGCAGAAGACACAGCTGAGCGTCTGCTGGGCGGCAGGGAGCCGGCACTCGGTGCTGCAAAGCGCCGTGGCTCATGCTGGCGCGGGGGGCGGATGTCTTGCCAGCCCCGGTGACGACTGTCAGGGTTACTTCCCCACTGGGAAACTCTCAGCTGCAGAGACACGGGAGCCAAAGTTTTCTCTCCCTCTAGGTCCCTTTCCTCTTCTGCTTTTGGCACCTAGCCGCCATCTCCTGTTCCTCACGCATCTCTTTCTCCTCCGTGCCAAGATCTACTCTCGCTCCTTCACTTTCCCCTTGGCTCAGTCCTCTTCCTGCTCAACGGCTGCTTTCGCTTTACTCTTCCCCTCCCTTTCCGCACCGAAATCACCGCCTCGCCACCTTCCCATCTCCCATGCACCCTCACTCGCACCCTCCAGGCAGCCTCTCCGTAACCATCACCTCTCAGCCCCTTTGGTGCTTCCTCACCAAGCTGCAGGTCGATTCTTTCCCTC